AGGGGGCTACACCCCCTGCTCGCTCCACTCGTTAAACCTCATATAACCCTGATATGACCCCCGTGACCCTTATTTCGGCCGTTAATCTGACCCTTGCGACCCTTATGACCCTGAATCGGGCCCATAAGGGCCCATAATCTAACCCTCATTTTGACCCTCGTGAGCTTCAATCTGATTCCCGTGACCCTTATTTTGACCCTCGTGAGCCTTAATCTGACCCTCGTGACCCTTATTTTAACCCTCGTGACTCTTACTCTGACCCCCATGACCTTATTATGGCCCTCATGACCCTTATTATGAGCCTCATGACCCTTTTTCTGACCCTTATAACCCTTATTTTGACCCTTGCGACCCTTAATTTTGGAGTCATAATTCTGAGTACCAAATTTTTATCACCAGAAGTCCACTTGGATTTTTATAATGTAGAATGAAATATTGAAAATGTGTGCAAATTGCTCTAATTGATTGAGATTTAATTAATTAATTATTTTCTTGAGGAGAATGACAATATTTAATATTCGAGAATTGAGTTGAGAAATTTCTATTTTTTCGTTTAAAAAATAAGACGAAAAAATTATATTGAAAATAAGTACGAATGGTTTTAATTGGCTGCGTGTTAACTAATTAATTATTCCTGGACCTGATGTACGTCTCGAATACATGAATTCGCGTGGAAAATCGAATTAAACAATTGGACTGGAATTCTTTTAACATAAAACGTGGATTCTTATTCCAATACCCGGAGTAATAAAAAAAATCCCAGAGGGAAACTGTTGCATTTGCGTGGGTGTGCATGGAAATAGATCAAGAGCAACCGATAGACTCCAGGATATGGAGAAAAAACACACACACACACACGTGAAGCGAATGGGAAAAATGAGGTAGAACGTGGAGTTAGAAACGTAGAAAAGAGAATTGAATGGAAACAATTGTAATCATTTTCAATTAACGTGTGGGTAATTACGATAATCAGGAGTAATTAACACTTGTGGTTATTGAAGCTCAGACACTCCGTCGTTAGTTCCGGTTATTTTAATAAAGTTAACAAATAATTTGTTTAGGGAAAGAATGGAAAAAATCATCTGTTAGTTTGCAAAATTATTGAATCACTCTCGATTATTAATTATCGATTTTTATAATTAAATAACGATTTACGATTGATGGATAACAAATGCAGATGGAAGTAAAGAAATGAAAATCCTCAAATTAATTTGAAGAATAATTTTATAACGGGATTTTTTTTTAATAAAAAAATTGTGAAAAAAAATCTAATTAATTTTAAATAATTACGATAATCAGGAGTTATTAACACTTGTGGTCATTAAAGCTGAGATATTCCGTCGTTAGTTCCGGTCATTTGAATAAAGTTAACAAATGATTTTGTTTAGGGAAAGAATTGAAAAAATGATCTATTAATTTGCAAAATTATTGAATCACTCTCGATTATTAATTATCTCTTTTTATTATTCATTAACTATTTACGATTGATGGATAACAAATGCAAATGGAAGTAAAGAAATGAAAATTCTCAAACCAATTTGAAGAACAATTTTATAACGGAATTTTTTTTTTGTAAATAATTGTGCAAGAACTCTAATTAATTTTAAATAATTACGATAATCAGGAGTAATTAACACTTGTGGTTGTTGAAGCTGAGACACTCCGTCGTTAGTTCCGGTCATTTTAATAAAGTTAACAAATGATTTTGTTTAGGGAAAGAATTGAAATCTGATCATCTGTTAATTTGCAAAATTATTGAATTACTCTCGATTATTAATTATCGCTTTTTATAATTAATTAACGATTTACGATTGATTGATAACCAATGCAGATGGAAATAAAGAAATGAAAATCCTCGAATCAATTTAAAAAACAATTTTTTAACGGAATATTTTTTATAAAAAAATTCTGACAAAAATCCAATTAATTTTGAAATAAATTTATGAGTAAATAATAATTATTTGTTAATTTAATTGTGGGTAATATGTCATCTTTCTGTTTTTCCTCCTCATGTACAGAACCGTTATTTAATTTTATGATTTTTTTTTAATAGAAAATTTGAAAAAACTATTTTTCAAGGAAAAAGTTATTTTTTAAAATTGAAAAATCCTGAAAAAAATTTAGTTAATTTTAACAGAACTTTATAATTAAGAAATGATCATTCAAAAATTTAATTGAATATGAAATTGTATTTTTCATTATTACTGAAAAATCTACAATTAATCAATGTCAAATACAAATAAAAACCCCAAAATCAATTGAAAGAAAAAAACAATTTTTTAATAAAAAAGTTATTTAAAAAAATTGAAAAATTTCGGAAAAAAATCAAATTAATATTAAAATAAATTCATAAATAAAAAATGATTATTCACGGATTTAATGAAATATGAAATTATGTTTTTCATCATTAATTTAAAAAATACAATCAATTAATGACAAATACAAATAAAAATCCTAAAATATATTAGAAAACAAATTTTTAAACAAGAAACTTATTTTTAAAAATTGAAAAACCCTTAAAAAAAATAAAATTAATTTCAAAGTAAATGTATAAATAACATCCAATTATTCATGAGTTAAATTGTGTGTAAAGTTGCAATTTCTCTATTTTTTCTCCTAATGTACAGAGGCGTTATTTAATTTTATCATTAATCTTTTCTTTTTTATACCCAGCAATAGTGTGCGAGGACGTGTCACGAAGCGAACTAATTATGTCACCTACTCCACACATAATAAAAAAGCGAATACGTGTCAAAATGTATAAATACTATCGGAAAAAGGCTTTTTTGTTATTAATCACACATCATGCACGAGATAATTTTTTCAGTGTATTAGTCACCCCATCGGATGGTCTATTATTTTCCCTCACGTTTTTCTTCTCATTTTCATGATGAAGAATATCTTCAACGTCGAGATTATATTCTACGATGATGTTTATATTTCATTCTGACGTAATGAACGAGAATTCTCGGGGTTTTACGGGGCTCCCTACAGCGGGGCATTCTAACATTTATTGGGTTTTTACGTTCACGTGTGGAGTTATTATCTCGAGAGATATTGAATAGATGAATGCAGAATTCACGGCAATTCCCAGTTATTATCCCGGCTTTTAATTTTTTTTTACAGGATTTCAATTTATTTGTGAAAATCGCGAAATTCTTCAATAAAGTTTTTTTTTTTAATCGAGGAGCGAAGAAAATCTCAAGAATCGAATGAAACATTAATAAAAAATTCTAGCGACAGGCGAAGCAGTGTTGTATCCAAGTATTTTAGCTATTTTTCCTCCAGTGAAATGCTTCTCTATTTTCTTTTTATTGTCTTTTCATTTGACCTCAAGTTTCCGGGCATTTTGCAATGATTTTATTATTTAAACTTTGCACGTTAGAATTTCAGTCTCCATATTGAACCGTTAGAAAACATTTTAAAGATCTGAAAGAAACATTAGACAGTTTACTTTTGGAGTAAAATTGATGGAACAATTTAAAAATTGCAATTTTTTTAAATTACTAGCATTTTTTATAAATAATTTATAAACAATCAATTTTCGACTATAAAAACCATTTTCGGAATCATAACAAAGTTATTTATATTCAAAATTTTATTAGACATCGATTTCAGTCCTAAGAAAATGAGGTTTTGGGAAGTTTAAACAATTTCAATTATTTATTTATAAACACCAAATTTTTAATACAAGTGGGAAATAGCTCTAGTATTGCATATGGTGTAATTATTTTTGCTAATAAATTAGCAATATGCTTCCGAATGGTTATTTTGCACATAATTTCCTTCTATCATGAATTCACTGTTTATTGCATTTTATAAAATTGAATAAGATTTCTTTTCAACTAATTTTGTCGGATTTTCAACTCAGTTGAATGTTATCATCATCATTATTCTTATTATCCCTTTCTTCTATACAACCGATTGTCTTTTTTACGGTTCTATCTCTGCCCTCAGCCCTTCGATAAAATGTTAATAGAAAAATTTTTTTTATACATACTTGAATGAATTTGAAACATCACATTTGAAAAAACCATCGGAAAGCTCACTTTCAGGGAAATTCATGAAAAATTGGAAATTTTCAACAATCATCATAAAAATTAAATCAACCAATATAGCTATCGTAATCATCTTTTAACTTGGACTTAATGGCATTAAAACAAACATTTTAAGCTATGCTTGAATTCATTTGAAGCATGATATTCAAAGCTATCCCCGGAATTCTGATTTTCAAAAAATACGAAACTTTTGCAAGTTTTCAAATTAATCAAAATAGCAATTATCGCCTTCATCTTCGAACTCGGTCAAAAGGTCATCCAAACAAATTTTTCAAGCCATCATTCAATCAATTCAGAACATTTTTTTAGTTATCGTGGAACAACCGATTCTCGAAAAAATTCGAAAATTAAAAAACTAACCGACGAGTTAAATTTAATTAATGGCATAGATTTGAAAAAAATGATTCAATTCCATCCATTTATTAGCGAACAATTGAAGAAAAACGTTGTTACATACGTGCACACATACACAAACGTGTGGCCGAGGTCTAAAAACAGCATATTCGAACTTTTTGGTTCTTATTGGGTCGACATAGCACAAAAAATCAAAAACTTAAATTTGAACGATTACAAAGCTTCCATGCGGAAGCAAAGAATAGCCCAAGCACTGGGATATCCTTAAAAAAAATCCTCAGTCAAGGTAAATCGGCCAAACCCTAACGGAAAGTTCAATAAAAATCCAGGACAATTGTCTAACGAACACTAGACACTAGTTTTTCAATGAAACTTCGGCATTCGTGAGTATTTTTCCTACTTCGGATCCCCCTCTCCGAGCTTATGCATAACAAATGAACATACGAAAATAATGAATGAAAAAAAATCAAATAAATTCATTTAATTAATTTCCAGGCAGAGAGCACCCGATGCTCGTTTAACGTCCTAGTCCTGTCGTTGTCCCATCAACGCAACATGCATTACGGTGCACCTGGTGCGACCACATCAAGAGGAACCGCATGCCCAGCGATTCTACCACTTCACCGTCAGCGTCTGACCCTGCCATGTCCAATAACAGGATTGCACCGCTGCTGAGTAAGTAGATCAATTAAAAACAATTTTGTCAGAGTGAAAAAAATAAATTTAAAAAAAGCCCAAAACAAAACTCGTTGACTCAATTCCCAGTGGTACTGTCCGCGCACAGGACAGGTCTCCGAAAACAGGGAAAATAAACAGAAACAGAATTTAGATTAAATTTCGGTGGAAAAATTCTGGGTTGAGAAAGAAATATTGGGGAATCGACAGGACTGATAGATTGTGGTGGTTGTAATATTTTTCCTGCTGTTTCTTTTTTATTAATCTGGTGCTTGATCAAAAATGCCAGTTACAGAGGTAGAAACAATTACGTGACAATCACGGGCTGGTGACACGCAAGGACACGTGACGGGGGGACAAAGAAAATGAGTGAGGGACGAACAAGTGTTCAGATTGTGCGACGTAATCACTGAGGGGGAATATTTGGGTTTATAACTCTCATATAGACTCCATTCATTGACACCAATTACAATTCTATGAGTCAAATCCTGTGGGTAAAATTCCTAAAACTGTGAATAACTCCTGAATTCCAACCGCAAAATTGAAGTTTCACAATTTAATTGGGCTAAATTTCACGGGTCCAATATACTGGAATAGATATTGTGGGTCAAATCGTATGGGTCAAATTGTATCGGTCAATTCCCATGGGTCAAATGGTGTCAGTGAAATTCTATGAGCTAAATATACTCGAATAGATATTATGGGTCAAATTGCATGGGTCAGTTCTCATGGGTTAAATTCCTCGGATAAAAATTGTATAGGTCAATTTCCTTGGATAACAATTGTATAGGTCAAATATCATGGGCTGAACATTAAGGGTCAAATAAAGTGAAATTCCACGGGTCAATTATAGTGAAATAGATATTGTGGGTCAAATAGTTTGGGCAAATAGTGTCAGTAAAATTCTGTGGGTTAAATATACTTGAATAGATCTTGTGGGTCAAATTGCATGGGTCAGTTCTCATGGGTTAAATTCCTCGGATAAAAATTGTATAGGTCGATTTCCTTGGATAACAATTGTATAGGTCAAATATCATGGGCTGGATATTAAGGGTCAAATAAAGTGAAATTCCACGGGTCAATTATAGTGAAATAGATATTGTGGGTCAAATCGTTTGGGCAAATAGTGTCAGTAAAATTCTATGGGTTAAATATACTCGAATAGATCTTGTGGGTCAAATTGCATGGCTCAGTTCTCATGGGTTAAATTCCTCGGATAAAAATTGTATAGGTCAAATATCATGGGCTGAACATTAAGGGTCAAATAAAGTGAAATTCCACGGGTCAATTATAGTGAAATAGATATTGTGGGTCAAATCGTTTGGGCAAATAGTGTCAGTAAAATTCTATGGGTTAAATATACTCGAATAGATCTTGTGGGTCAAATTGCATGGCTCAGTTCTCATGGGTTAAATTCCTCGGATAAAAATTGTATAGGTCAAATATCATGGGCTGAACATTAAGGGTCAAATAAAGTGAAATTCCACGGGTCAATTATACTGGAATAGATATTGTGAGTCAAATTAAATACACTCTTAAATTGATAAATATACTCGAACAGATATTAAAATAGAATAGATTAAATATACTCGAATAGATATTGTGGGTCAAATTGCATGGGTCAGTTCTCATGGGTTAAATTCCTCGGATAAAAATTGTATAGGTAAATTTCCTCGGATAATAATTGTATAGATCAAATATCATGGGCTGAATATTAAGGGTCAAATAAAGTGAAATTCCACGGGTCAATTATACTGAAATAGATATTGTGGTTCAAATCGTTTGGGTAAATGGCGTTAGTAAGATTCCATCGGTTAAATATACTCGAATAGATTTTGTGGGTCAAATTGCATGGCTCAGTTCTCATGGGTCAAATTTCTCGAATAAAAATTGTATAGGTCAATTTCCCTGGATAAAAATTGTATGGGTTAAATTGTATGGGTCAAATATCATGGGTCAAATGAAGTGAACTTCCATGGGTCAAACTGTAAGGGCCAAATTCTGTGGATGAAATTTCTTGGGTCAAATCTTATACATAAACTCGCGTTGGTAAAATTCCTAAAATCCCAAATACCTCACGAACTCCTGCAAAGTTGGACCACCGCCGCACCGCGACACCGAGAGACACGGGTCAGTTCGCAAGGGTCACATTATAAGGGTCAAATTCCTTGGATCAAATTATATGGGTCAACTGGTGTCAGTGAAATTCTATGGGTGAAATATACTCGAATAAATATTGTGGTTCAAATTGCATGGCTCAGTCCACACAGGTCAAATTCCTTGGAGAAAAATTCTATGGGTCAAATTCCCTAGATCAAATTGTAAGGGTCAAATATTATGGACTGAACATTACGGGTCAAATAAAATGAAATTCCACGGGGCAAATATACTGGAATAGATATTGCGAGTTAAATCGTAAGCGTCAGTTTCCATGGATCAAATTCCATGGGTCAGTTTCTATGGGTCAAACCCCACGAATAATTTTTTTTGTCAAATCCTATACGTCAACTCGCGTGGGTAAAATTCCTAAAATTCCAAATACCTCACGAACTCCTGCAAAATTGGACCACCACTGCACCACGAGACCAAGAATTTCCCTAGGATTTCAACCCCAACCCTTCCACCCCCCCNCCACCCCCCGCCCTCCAGCTTCCGCCTCTCGCCATATCCCCGAAAAACTTATCTCGTACCTCCCAGCAAAACTGCCGAAAACATCTTCAGCGTCGCAAATCACATTCGGAAAATACATCGGGAAGAGTTTTTTCTGCAGCGTTGGCTCTATCGCAACCCCCGCAGAAGCATAAAAGGTGCGAGGGGGTGACGGGTGGGTAGAAGTATGTCGAGTGATGTATACAAGTCCCAGGGAGAAGAAAATAAGAGTGAAAGAAGGAGGGTAAAAATGTGGAAAAAATTAAAAGGGTGTGGGGATGATCGAGGGTGGAATCGAGGCACTGTCAATGTATACTCTACACGGGGTGGGGTAATAAAGAGGGGCTGCGACCAATGTGTAACACGCGTGCGTACATTATCCCTAGGTATCAGGATAGCCCTCGTGCACTTGAATCGTTTCAGTCACTCAAGATATTCCTCGCAACTAGCATTATTCAATGGCCAAGCGAGCGTGCAAGTCATCGTTTGTGTCTGTAATCATAAGTTAACTGGGTTCTAATTATTTTTGCGGGAGAAACTAGGTACAATGAGGAATTGACATGAGTTCTACTCATCATCTCAGTTTTTTTCGTGAACGTGAAGATTTTTTTCGGCTGATCCATTAGGGGCGTTACTACTCCCCTGCAGGCCAATTATTTTTAATTATCTGGAAATTAATGTGGAAGTCGGTTAATCAATTGGACGATGAGCATCATGGGGAGCCAGGGAAATTTGCGATTCCAAACCCTGTTTGTGAACCCATTTTGCCCCTGTTATTCTTTCGCAATGACAGGAGAAAAATTTCGATGTTAAAGCGATTTTTCGCTTGAATTTGAATTTGTTTATCGACGCCATAGAAGCTTACAAAAGTGATACATAAAAATACATATTATGCATTAATTTTAAAAAAATTAGAAACGGAATGGGGCAAAATGGGAGTGGATTAATTAACCGGGTTCTAATTATTTTTGCGGGAGAAACTAGGTACAATGAGGAATTGACATGAGTTCTACTCATCATCTCAGTTTTTTTCGTGAACGTGAAGATTTTTTTCGGCTGATCCATTAGGGGCGTTACTACTCCCCTGCAGGCCAATTATTTTTAATTTTCTGGAAATTAATGTGGAAGTCGGTTAATCAATTGGACGATGAGCATCATGGGGAGCCAGGGAAATTTGCGATTCCAAACCCTGTTTGTGAACCCATTTTGCCCCTGTTATTCTTTCGCAATGACAGGAGAAAAATTTCGATGTTAAAGCGATTTTTCGCCTGAATTTAAATTTGTTTATTCCGAACCCTGGTCATGAACCCATTTTGCTGCAACAGTTATTTCGAAATATCAGAAACTAAATTTCGATGCTAAAACGATTTTTCGTGTGAATTAGAAAAAGTATCGGTGCAAAATGGGTTCAAGACCAGCATTTGAAATCGGAAATTTTCCCGTCCGTTCAATGAACTCATCTCCAGCATGAAATTTCTCCCCTGAGAACGAGTTGAGTCAATCTAATAGAATATATCTCCAAAATTTCAGATTCAATGATATCAAACAACACTAAAAACACCGCGGGATGTAGTTGACGTTGCTTATCAGGGTTCGAGTGCAGTTGCAGGGATCTAGAGGAGGTGGCGGTGGGGATTGTTCCAGGATAAGGTTGAGCAAGTGGATAGTGTCACGAGAAATCAGAGGAAATTTTCAAAAGAAGCGCCAGACTTGAGCTGATTGTCGTTGTTCAAGTGGTTCAACATATAACACCGAGCGAATCAACGACAACTACCAGCAGATCAAGAGTATAAACATCGTAAAACTCGAAGAGAAAGAAGAAAAAAAGTGATCTAAAAGAAATCATCAAAAGAATCATTGAACAGACAGAACAGTTTGAGCTCGGATTGAGGTGATTGTTGGGGGGTTTTTGTTGATTAACGTCATTTCAAACGAAATGAACGTAACTGAGGTGCCACCAAGTCCGGATAACTGCAACGACAATAGCACGCAAGTAACTGAATACGATGTATGGCAGCAAGTATTAATAAGTGTACTTGCTATTGGTCTGAGTCTTGTAACAGTTATCGGTAATTCAATGGTTATGATTGCTATTAGAATTGATAAACAACTCCAGACAATATCAAATAATTTTTTATTCAGTCTTGCTGTTGCTGATTTTGCCATTGGTCTTATATCAATGCCACTTTTTACTGTTTACACGGTATTTGGTTATTGGCCATTTGGTTCAATAGTATGTGATACGTGGCTGGCACTCGATTATCTCGCTAGTAACGCGTCTGTACTTAATCTGCTGATCATAAGTTTCGACAGATTTTTTTCGGTCACGAGACCGCTGACGTACAGAGCTAAGAGGACACCGAAGAAAGCCGCAATCATGATAGGTGAGTGAATTTTTGTAAATCATAATTTTTTTTTTCATGTTGGAGAAATAGAGGTCATCTGTGCTTTTTCTCAGCGCTTTCTGAATGATAAAGTCAGGTTTAGAGAACATTTTTGGAAAATTAGCCCAACATTATCGAAATCAGAAGGATTAGATCATAATTTTACCGCGAAACCAGCATGAAATTTAGCGGCATAAAAATAGCTCCGCCATTAGAATCAGTGTCATAAGATGAGCCATAATCTAAATCAGAATCATTGCGTCGGTGCCAGCATTAAATCAGGATCAAAAAACGGCTCGACATTATCATTGAAATATAACATCATTGTTATTCCGCCAAAAATTAATTTTTAAACAATTTTAATTTTCACATTGGCGCCAGCATTAAAATCGTACGACATAATCTCGATCATAATCATTGAATCAGAAGAATGCAATTGCTTCTCAACATGATTCTAACAAAATCACATATCGTTTCTCAAAACTTGTAGACAGTAACGCAAATAATGATTTCCTGTAAAATCATCATGAAAATCATTACTATAAAAACCACCCCAGCATGAAAATCAGTGTCATAACATGAGCTCCGTCACGCTTCCATAAAATGATGTGTCAGTATTGACGAAATTATAATATCTACCAACATAATCTAAATGATATAATGATTATTATATCGGTGCCAACATTAAATCAGGACCATGAACCAACCCAACATTATCATAAAAATATAATATCATTGTTATTCCGCGAACATTAACTTTGAGTCAAATTGTAATCTCTATGATTTTACTTATAATCTTCATTTATCACGAAATCAGCTGTAGCATTAAAATCCTACAACATAATCTCAATGACCGTCATTAAATCAGGAGTGTGCATCCGCTTCTCAACATGATTTTAATGTCATGAGATCATCGTTTCTCAAGAAATATGAACATCAACACAAATGATGATTTTCTAGAGAACCAGCATGAAAATCACCATAAAATCATGCCCTAGTATCACCGAATTCATTTACCAACATAATCTAAATCAGAATCATTACATTGGTGCCAGCATTAAATCATTATTATGAAACAGCCCAACATTATCATGAAAAAATGAGAAAAATTAACATCAAACCGCAGCATAATCTCCATCCCAGTCATAAAATCTGTGCCAGCATTAAAATCATACCACAACATAATCCGAACAAAAATCAAAACAGCTCAACATCATCATAAAGACGCTACACCGTTGTTGGCCAAAACATAAACATCAACCCAAATAATGATTATCTGACTCTCATAAAATCATGATCAATGTCGTAAAATCCGCTCACCACTCAACTCTTCCCCACAATCTCCCCAAAAGCGCAGCATACGACGTTCTGATCCCCCAATGTGCTCTCAATAACCATAAAAGTAGTCTGAAAGTGTTTTCCCGAACTCGAAAAAACTTCTGCCGATAAGACGGTCATCATCCTGAATATCCCCCCCTCGAAATCTCCTTGGTCATCAGATAAACCCGATGGTCCACCCCTCCCATCACTTTCACTCATCCCTCAATTTACCCAGAAATACTTGAAATGTCCTTGCACGTCCTCAGCATGCAGCATTAAATCAACAATTACCCACAGATTTCAAAACCCCCAACACACACATCGTGGCACACATACACACACACACACACACACACACACACACACACACATATTCAATAGTGTGGCAGTAGTGATAACATTGAATACCAGAAGCCGTTGTTCTCGCCTGTTGTTGGAGGCATAAAATGAAGTTTAAAAAAAAATATAAAAGAGGGAGAAAGAGAGAGGAGAGAGAGAGAAGGAAAAAAACATTGATGAGTAAAGCACACGTGTTGAGGCAAAACGGTTTTGCATCTATTGTTTTGCACACAAATCCGCATTACAAGATAATGGCAATGACGACCCACATACGTCACATACGTCAAACCAACTAGGCTTTAGATGCCTGATGGTTTATGTTTAGAGTTTATAAATGAAAATGTTAAGTCTGTGGGCGAGACATTATTAGACTTGTTGCGAATAGGGGTGGGTTAGGGGGGCGAAGGGGGAGAGGGGGTGGGAGGTAGGGGGAGGGGAATGAAATTGAATTTGTATAAATGAGGTTCGATCAGAAGTTCTTCTTTTAATGAAGAAGTTGTGGGTTTCTATGGGGGGAAATTAGTACACAGGGGGGCGGGGCGGGATAGGGGAAGGGGGCAGGGGGAGGGGTGGGTTTATAAGTTGAGGATAAATAGTGGTTACGGGCTGGAGTGACACCTGTTGCGAATGTAAAAGGGGAAAATCTATCGACTTATCGACATTAGGGGGGACAATGGAGGGAAATGGAATGAAGAGGTTTGCTAGGGCGAGGGGGATAGGGGGTTATGGATTTTTGTAGGGCGGTAGGGGGCCGCGAGGGGAGGGATTTGTTTGAGTGAATTGAGATTTGGAGACGAATTTTTGAGAGGTGTTTTGAGCTGC